GGATTCTACGCTTCGGGAATCTCACAGCTCCCTGAGATTCATTCTGATAAATTCCCATTGCTGCATTTGTTGATGTGGGGAAATGACACATTTGGTGTTGTGTTATCATTCTTCAAGGCACAACCGCCCCTTGGACTTTCCTCGCAGATGACAGGGTGTGGAGCCCTGGTAAAGATGCCAATCTGGGGCGGAGAAATATCGTTCTGTATCTAAGGGGTCCAGAATTCTGTCTTCTGGGAGGAGAGGGGTACCTGAGAGCCACCAGAGCCTGAACTACAACTCCCAGAAACCCTTGGCTTGACCACTGATAAGAGATGCTTGGCGTCCTTAACTGAGCAAGGGTCCCTCAAACCATTTTACTGCTTCAAAATACAGCTGGTTCAAAGGGGAAAACCCATGTCTCCTCTCAGTCAGCCGGATTTAAATCAGGATTTATCAAGAATTATCAGGATTTATCAAGAATTATCAGGATTTACCAAGAATTATCTGGCATCTTTTTACGTGTGAACGCATGTTGCCTCTGTCCCTGAAATCGAGGTGGTATTCAATTTATGACCTCATCCCTTAATAGCTGTTGGAAATCACATCCGGCAATTGTAAAATGCTGTGCCAACATCTTTCACCACAATCACACGATCCCATTTGGGAGCCCGGCAAAGGATTTGCGATGTCCCACAGCCACAGGCAATTTTCAACGGGGTTTGTTTTGCTGGTTTCCGTTCACAAACAACCATTTGGGATGGCTAAATTGACTGCTTTGATTAAAGAACATAAAATACAAGTACTTTCATTTCTACTTGGAAACCATTTCTGGACTTTGTGCTTGGGGCGGGGCAGGGGAGAATGAAATTTTGAGTTTGAGTTTTACCGATTAGGTAGATTTGTTGTGATAGAAATGGCTGAGTTTCTTTTATTATGAAAAAGTAGAAAAGTTGAGGGTAGATCTTAATGCCTTATTTTACCGCACCAAAGGGAGTAGGAAGTCAATGTCTTTTTTCCCCCTCTTTTTCCCTGGCTTTTCCTCACTATCCACTTCCCTTATTCCTTGCCCAATTTCCTTAATGTTTCTTTTTGTATTCTTTTTGTATGTCATATTATAAACTAATAAAATTATGTCAACAAAAACAAACAAAAACCCCAACTACTGGAAGAATGGACTCAATACAACTGTAGTATTTGCTTAACGACAACAAAACATGCCATCAAACCAGATCCGGTCCCATAGGTGCTTCAAACTTAAGACCATAACAATTTAAGACCAGAAACGCAGTCCCAATTGCGGTTGTAATTGTACCTGTAGCTTGCTCAAACTTTTCATGTTCTTAAATTAGCCTTTACAAAGATGAGAAAGAAAATAACAGGCCCCTGCTAGGGGAATTCGTATATTAAAATTGGCATATTCTGCTGTAGGAGCAAATCCTTACCTCCGTTATCATAGGGATTTGAGTAATAGTCTCCGTAGTAGCCATTCCACCCACTTTTGGTGTTGTAGTAGTCGTCGGGGTAATCTTGTCTGGGGGGGGGGGGGGGGGGAAGAGAAAAGATTTTAAATCATTGAGACTTAGGCTAGCAACGCACACAGATGGGAAGCACTGCTGAAAAATGCACAGGGGCTTCTTAGAGCTGAAACACATCGGTTAGTTTGTCTATGCAGGTCATGGTTGTCCCAAAGGTGCTTTTACTCAAGAAACAAATGGACTTTCTGGTTTTTTTCTGAAGACTTTTCGCTTCTCATCCAAGAAGCTTCTTCAGCTCTGATTGAATGGTGGGGTGGTGGTGGAAGGATTTATACTCCTTGCCGACAGCTGGACATTGGCGTTCTTTTAGTGAGGCTCCACACCCATTTGCACTACTGCTCAGGTGACTCTGAGGTCACAGACAAACTGCCAAGTGGCCTCATTGGCTCTCTCAAAGGATGCAAGTAACCAGCTGGCTGCAAGGAGTATAAATCCTTCCACCCCCCACCATTCAATCAGAGCTGAAGAAGCTTCTTGGATGAGAAGCAAAACGCCTTCAAAGAAAAACCAGAAAGTCCGATGGCCTCTTGAAAAAAGCACTATTGGGACATTAGCTACTAGTTTCTTGAGAAATGCCAAATTCCTTCCTTCCTTCCTTCCTTCCTTCCTTCCTTCCTTCCTTCCTTC